TGTCTGGTAAGTGGAGTGGGAAGTAGGTGTCTGGTAAGTGGAGTGGGAAGTAGGTTTCTGGTAAGTGGAGTGGGAAGTAGGCTTCTGATTGGTAAGTGGAGTGGGTAGTAGGTGTCTGGTAAGTGGAGTGGGAAGTAGGTTTCTGGTAAGTGGAGTGGGAAGTAGGTTTCTGATTAGTAAGTGGAGTGGGAAGTAAGTGTCTGGTAAGTGGGGTGGGAAGTAGGTTTCTGATTGGTAAGTAGAGTGGGAAGTAGGTGTCTGGTAAGTGGAGTGGTAAGTAGGTGTCTGATTGGTAAGTGGAGTGGGAAGTAGGTGTCTGTTTGGTAAGTCTAGGGTGGGAAGTAGGTGTCTGATTTGTAAGTCTGTTCAAAAAACTTTGCCTTTTTCTGACAGTTTTGTTTCAACAATTTTGATAAATATATTTTTTTATTTTAGTTTGTCAGATGTCATACTAAATGATACAATACTGGAAGGTGAGAGTGTGAAGAAAGTAAAAGAAGCCTTGGATGAACCTATAAATGGATCTTTAGCCGACTGTTTCAAATTGTACACACAGGAAGAGCAGGTGAAATATCTACAATTGTATTCTCATGCCAAACTACCTAGGTCAAAGGTTATGTCAAGTAGTTGTGCCAAACTACCTGGTCAAAAGTCATGTTAATTAGTTGTGCTAAACTACCTAGGTCAAAGGTCATGTCAATTAGTTGTGCTAAACTGCCCAGGTCAAAGGTTGTGTCAAGTAGCTGTGCTCATTGACACGCAGATCGCCGCAAACCAACCGATCTGACACATACCGCGCGTGGAACTATGGAAAAAATGGTCGGAACTATTTCCACTTTGTGTCAACACAGGTGGCGCTATTCGGTTGGTTTGTGGCAATCTGCGTGTCAATGCAATATTGAGAAAAATTAGACCTTTGACCTTCCAATTTACATGCATTTTAATGTTAATAAAATGAGATATTCTGATGAGTGTTGTGTGTTATTTTAATTGATCAACTGATTAAAGATTAAATCTTGCTAAAAATCGGGGGAGGATGTGTTCAAAACAAGAAAAATACTTTTATATAGTTCCGCTGCAGAAACGCTGAGAAAAATGATAGCGGATGGATATTTAGCCTTCAGAGGCTAGTTATGCGTCATAAGACACAGGTCTGTGTTGACACAATGAGCTGTGCTAAACTACCTAGGTCAAAGGTCGTGTCAAGTAGCTGTGCCAAGCAACCTGGTCAAAGGTCATGTCAAGTAGTTGTGCCAAACTACCTGGTCAAAGGTCATGTCAAGTAGCTGTGCTTACCTGCCCGGGTCAAAGGTCATGTCAAGTAGTTGTACCAAACTACCTGGTCAAAGGTCATATGTAAATTACTTATGCCAAACAGTACCTGTTTGAAAATCATACATAAATTAGTAGTGGCAAACTACAGTACCTCGTCAAAATACCTTTTGAGTAGTGATGCCAAACTACTAGGTCAAATGTCATATTGTGTAAAGGAGTTATGCAAAGGTGCAATAGGTCAAAGGTCAGCTTGTTTTCTGAAAATGTGGTTATGGTGATCATAGTATAAATTATATAATTTAGTGAAATTTTCACAAAATATTCAGATTCCCTCTCAAAACTTTGTTCCTCCAGAATATGAAACAATTTGTGTTATTTAATTTATATGGTATTGAGTAACTGATCGATATTAGCAAATCTGGTTCATATCTGATATTTTACTAACATATTGGGTTTTTTTTACTATATATCTTAAATTTGATAACTAACAGGGACTATGCATGCATGGCTTGTTTTTTTTTTACTCTAGTTGAGTGGTGATGATGCCTGGCATTGCCCTAATTGTAAAAAACTACAACACGGAACAATGAAAAAACTTGGTTTGTGGTCTCTTCCTGACATTCTTATCATACATCTGAAGCGATTTAAACAGGTAATGTCTTCTATATTCTCCTGGCTATACTAATGTTTTATACCATGGTGCTATATATGTCATTTAAATGTGCTGCATATACCACTAATGCAACACTCACTACTGCCCAGGGCAATGTTTGACACTTTTTCTCAACACTATTTGTGCTGTCAACTGTTTTCATGACAAGCCATCAATACAAACTGACATCTCATATGATTGATCTACACTTGGTACCGTAAAAGCCTTCTTAATTTGCACTGTTCAAAAAAAGATTTAAACTATATCTTTTTAATACATTCTCTAACATTTTTGATTAAAAAAATTAATGTTGTAAAACTCTAGTGTAAAACAATATACCGGTAGTGATTTCCGCTTACATAAACATTGATTGATTGTACTGGCGTGTAATTTGATGATGTTATGTTTCAAAGATGGCAGTGATTTTTTCTCAAAACTAAATGAAATTGAAATCATTAATTAATCACATTGTTTTCAGTTTTATATGTTTAAATTTCAATTCTCAATATATAATCATTACAAACTATCTCTTCAACATTGTCATATTTCAGACAACTACAAGACGAACCAAACTATTAAATCTTATAGATTTTCCCATAAGTATGATTGATATGTCACCATATTTGGAGAAAAGAAACCACAGTGCAACACCCAGTACACTCAATTCTCTCACCAGTTGGTCACCATGGAAACGAAATAGACGGCGCTGTAGCAATCCTGAATTGGAAAATGTGTATGACCTATATGCAGTGTGCAATCATATTGGAAATAACCTTGGAGGTGGCCATTATACAGGTAAGTATTATTGAGGTGGCATTATGCAGGTCAGTATTATTGAGGTGGCATTATACAGGTCAGTATTATTGAGGTGGCATTATACAGGTCAGTATTATTGAGGTGGCATTATACAGGTCAGTATTA